CTGCCACGCCATGTGGTCACCTCCGGGGCAGGAGGGAATTGAACTCATGCGGAAGTGGCTTTAGCTTCTCAGTGCAGTGCTTTAACCCGCTGCGCCACCAGGGAGGGCCAAGAACAAAGGTAGTTTAAGAAGATACTTTTGAACTGGTGAAATTCTCTGCATTATATATTTTGTTTATATAAAACATCCACCTTTTCTTGGAAAACTCTTCCAGTGATTGGCCAGTCATATTTCTCCACACATCTGGTCACAGTTGATAGCTCCAGGGAGAGCATCTGATTCAAGTCACAACAAACAGATATTGTAAGGGAACTTTGAATTTGACAAGCAGAGAAAAAAAATTCAATGTCTTTAAGGCAGACTTGGTGATTTGGAACTGCCAGGCCTTGTGTCTTTGATTTGCAGAGATCAGTTCCAAAAAAGAAAGCCAACAGTCTTGGGGTGCCAGTCCAGAGTTGCAGTCATCCTGAGACTTACAGTGGTGACTGGTAAAGATACATTTTTTAAAAATTTATTTATGCATACAAGAACTGAGGTAGAGGCCGTAACTTGGGAGTGTGTGTGAGAGTGAGGATTCACTAGAGACAGAGTGGGTAACAGACAGGCAGATTTTGGTGAAATACACTGCTGAGGGGGAGGAGCAGGCCGGGGAGGAGCAGGCCAGGCCGGAGAGGTCTGTTGTGGCACGTAGGTCACCTCCTGGCTGGGGATCGAATCATGCTGTAGTGGCTGCCAACAGCTATTATTACTGTGCTTTAAGCCTGGAGCCAGCAGGGAGGCCCCTGGTAAAGATATTTACCTGGTCCTTAAGTACCAGACCTTCAGCTCTAGATGTTTTTCATGTTTCTCATTTAATCCTGAAAATTCCTTAAGGTAAATACCATCCATCTCATCCTTCTAGGAGTATAGATGAGAATAGTGAGGCACAGGGAGGTTAACTATAGTTTTAAGAGGGGATTCAAATCCAAAGCCAGTGCTCTGTGCCACTTTTGTTATACAGCCTCTGGGCCAGTGAGTAATTTCAAATTTCAAAGCAAATTTGAGTTGGTAATCTGCCAATTTCAACCAAATTATGTAATGTGTATTACAGGTATACTAAACCATACACTAAATATGCTCAAAGCCACCTTATTTTCTTCCACCTCAAACTTGTTTCTTAGGTTGCTTTTCTCACCAAGTGACATTTATATCTAAGATGAAATCTTGGCGTCTTTCTAGATCTCTTTTCCTTACCTCCTATCACTTCATTTTGTATTCCAAACCACTGTATCCTACAAATACAGATAGGGCAGTAACTACAAAGTCTTGCTTCCAAGCTAGTCTCTTCTTTCTATTCCCATAGCTAATGCCTTAGTTCATTGGTGACCTTGACCTTCCTTAACCTTTTTTGTGCCTTAGTGTATAAAATGGGGTCAATCCCACCTATCCCAGAGTTAAGAGGATTAAACGAGATAAAGTAAGACATATATTCATAACTGTTAGGAATTTTTTTTTAGGAGTTAAATAATTCTTTATGTGTGCTCATGGATATTTGTGTGTTTTATTGCAAAAGTATGAACTCCAATGGGAAAACAGTCTCTGAGTACGATTTTATATATAGGTATTTCAACAGATGACTTAGGAAACCTGCAGAAAGTTTTCAATATAATATATTCTTAGAATACACATACACAAAACCCCACCAATCTTTACTGACCCCCATCATAACTATCATCTATTACAAGAGATGTTAATAATTGTCATACATCTGAAAAGTGCAGCACATCCAGAAGCAATACTACAGCACAAACTGGCACCTATTACTTCTTTGATTATACTGAAACAACTACTGGGACTCTGAGTTGTTAAAATTGCTCCCCTTGTTCACTGGATATTCCAAAGTACAAATTCATTAATTCTATCAAGGATAAAAGGGTCTATTATCATTTACTCACATATACACCTATTTCTATTGCACTTTTTAGTATTTTTATGTTAACACCCCACTTTCAAATGGATTAACGATAAAGAATATATTCTATAAAGCTCCTATATAACACTGTCATTCAGCATTATCTGTTCAAACACAAATTTTAAAGAAATATTAAGCACTTGACTCCATTCTCCAGAATGGGCTGTTAAAAACCTCCAGGTAGCGTGGGTAAAACAAAAGAACTGCTCTTTGTGTGGCAAAAGCAGAACAAGAAAATATAGTAATTAACAAGTACAAACTCATTTCCTATCTTCTTCCTCAACTTATATTTAGTTAAGGTCCAAAAATTTGCAAGGAGGGGAGACAGTATTTCCAGATTAACCTAGTTAGCCTGAAGAACTACATCCTTTCATATCTTTCCACCAGAGTCCATGGTATTTACTACACAAACACCCTATGCAGTGTCAGGTCCTGTCACATTTATCAAGAACAAGACTGGCTTATAAACATGGGCTATTCATGTTTTCAATTACAAACGAAAAGCACAGGGAGGAAGAGAAAAACAAAGCCTTGGGTTTTAAAAATAGCTCATTGTTAAATTCCAGGTCAAAGTGTCAATGACTTAAGTTTGAGATCTTTCCAAGACAGTACCAGGTATTGGAGCAGATTCCAGTTTCTTTAGGAAAAAAAAAATCAGTTATTCAATCGCTTTTTAGTGTCATGATTTTTTTTTTTTTAATTTGTGCATACAGAACTGGAGTACAGGCTAGAGGCATAGGGGCAGTGAGAGGATTCACCAGAGACAGAGTGGGGAGCAGAACAGGCAGATTGACGAAGTACACTGCTGAGGGGAGCAGCAGGTGGGTCAGGAGAGGTCTGCAGCGCCATGTGGATCACCTCCCAGGCAGGAGGGGATCGAACTCATGCACAAGTGGCTTTAGCTTTTTAGTGCTGTGCTTTAACCCACTGCGCCATCAGGGAGGGCCTATGATGATTTTTTTTTATCCACTAGGGAAAATGTGCCACCGACACCTCTATCTTCACAAAGGAATTGATGTCCACTTTGGGGAACAAGTCAGAGATGGTCATGACAATATGGAACAAAATCTAAGATTTACAAAATGAGACAATAAATAAAAATGGCAAAATGAAAAGAAGAAAATTGAAAGTCTATGTGTCTGCAGCTTCAGAACTGAAGAGCTATTTTAAAACACGACAGAAAGTTGAGATGGTATGGGGGAAAACCAGGTGTAGACCAGAGATACAGGGGTAAAAAAAAAAAACTGATCATCAGGGCCCCTCCATAATGGTGCAGCAGGTTTAAACACACCACTGCAAACAGCACAGCAAGCAAGCTGCAGCCGCTTCAGTGTGGGTTCTATCCCTGGCCCTGGAGGTAACTCACATGGCAAGCAGCCCTCTCCTGTCTCCTCGCTGCTCCCCACTGTCTGTGGTGGTCCTCTCAATGCCCCTGCGCCTCTGGCCTGTACCCCAGTTCTTTATGCATACATTTTTAAAAAATAAAGAAATTAATGACACGGACCTTCCCTGGTGGAACAACAGGTTAAAGCGCAGCAGTATGAAGCTAGTTAGTTGCAGCTGCTTCAGCACAGGTTTGATCCCTGGCCCCCCAAGGTGACCCACATGGCACAGTGGATCTCTCCTGTCTTGCCTGCTGCTCCCCTCAACAATGTACTTTGCCAGTCAGCCTGTTCTGCTCCTCACTGTCTCTGGTGCATCTTCTCACCATCTATGCACCTGTGGCCTGCACCTCAGTTCTGTATGCATAAATAAATAATAAATCTTAAAAAAGTAATTAGTGACAATTTCTTTGTTCTACATCATTTGGCTTATGGGAAGTTTTGGAGGACTTCTATTTTTTGGATAGCAAGGAAAACCTGTATCAAAATTTCACTTTAATGGAGCAGTTTTCCCTTAAGCATTACATGTTAACTAATTTTTATCTCCTCACAAGCAAACATCGGAGGAAACATTCTAGCTGAGAATCTAAGATATATATTCTTATGTCATATAATTTACACACATGAAGGCATTTCAATGAATCCATGTGGGTATTTCCATTTCTACTATAGAGGTAATCAGATTTAAAAAGAAAAAGTCTAACACAAAAAGGAATATAAAACTATTTATTGACCACTGTTCACCAGTATTTACAATAAAGTAAACAATATACAGTTGAGTAACATTCTGATTACTACGAAGTTACTGTTTTTCCTGGCTTTTGTTGAACCAGTAACCAAAATACTGAGAAGATTCGAGTCTACATATAAGGAATGAATTGGGGTAAAGAAGAAACACGCAGGTCGAGTTTAGGTTACAAAAATTTGTTCACCCATTTATTCCGGCAGGCCCTAAATTGGCAACATTGCTTACCACTCATTAGGTTTCCACAAATCATGGCCTTTTTCAGTCAATATACCACAGGGATTTCAACTTCTTGTAAAGGAATGGTTCACTAAAAGAAACCTTTAAATGTCCAGTTAACTAAGCCTTACTTGCCTAATTATAACACATCAGGATTTATCTAACTTTCTCATTTTGGGTGGGAAAGTTGTTGGTAGAGGTTCTGCAAATAAAATGCAATTCTACAATTGCATATATAAAAGACAGTGTCTGATATGGCTACTATTAAATTGTCCAATTTAAATTACTTATATTTAAGTTGTTCAATTATAAAATAATCTATTTATTTGGAAGGCAAATCTTCAGGAAAATTTTCAATTGAACTGAAAGTGATTTCGTCCTTAGGTTGCTCAAAATTGATGGCATCACAAAAAGTGGGCTTATCCATGGTCACAAAATGCTGTTTGTTTGGTGAAAGTTACAGGGGAAAAAAAAAGAGAAAACTGTTGTTTATATATGTATTTTATGTATATACAAACACACACAAAAACAAATGAACAAAAACCCCCAGCATGGTCCTTAGGCATTTGAGTTACACAAATTCGGACTGAGTAATGACTATGGCGATTTCCCCCGATATTAAGAAAAGCTTTTCTCTAATGCAGGGGAAATAACATACCATGGTAGCAAATGTTCTTTTTTGATAAAGGAAGCAACTACAGAAAGCTCTTATTTGTTCAAAGGAACCAGTGCTATAGATGCAAAAAAAAAAACAAAAACAAAAAACTCCGAACAACTCTCCCAATACTACTTCAAAATGAACATATCAAACTTGATTTTCATTAGAATGTAGTTATTTCTTCATACTAATAAATCAAAAAACCAAGACCCAGATTTTATATATATATATAAATATATATAAAAAGCAATGCATACAATTATTGAGCTTCATCTTCTGGACACGAATGCCAAGTTAGTCTCTCTTCATAAAAAGCAATTACAATTTGAGGACACTTCATGTTTGCCTCTTTTGCCAGCACCAAGTCTGCTTCATCTGAATCTTTCCTGTTGCACGAGAAAAAAATAACCAGTTAAAAGTCTAAACTGCTTTTGTCAACTTAGAGCTGTTAACTTAAGAACTCATAATTCAATTAAAAGGTAGGCAAGTGCTTCAGGAGGACTATGTGTTCCCCAAAAAGTCCATTTTCTGAAAGAGGCCAATTGGCCAATCTCAAGTTTTAAAGTATTATCAGCAAAATTAACTAGAATCATCTTTCAGCAGGCTGTTACTCTATATAACAGATTTAGAAAATCTTTCCTAGGTAAAGCTTCACAAATTAAAAATACACAAACACGTCCATCCTGCACCATCTGTATACTTACCATTTCATAAGAAACATTAATTCTCCGCTGCTGTCTGTGGCACCAATTATTCGTTCAGGATCAAGACCTCTGGCAAAACCTCTTGGTTTGTCAGCCTATTAAAAAGAAACTAAACGATTATAAGGCCATTTCCCACACAGCAAACTAAGACTGTTAATTTCTAGTGTGTTTTCATGATACTTACCTTTGAAGTAAAAAAATTTCAAAAAAAAAAAAAAAAAAAAAGCCATAGTTCAAAGTTTCCAGGCTAGTACACAAGCAAATCTGGGTGATAGCACCCTGTTCCCATACCTTTTTATGTTGATGTTACATAAACACTAGCTACTAGAATGAAATTTAACAAAAAAAAAAAAAAAAAAAAAAAAATTTCAATAGTAAAACAACCAGAAAGGAAGAGCCCACGGTTAGTACTAAAATATACGGTAATTTCCATTAACCTTACAAATAAAATAACCCCCCCAAAACTGTATGCCTAACGTGCAACACAGAATACCTAAAATTTCCAAAAAATGTCCTGGGTCACTTAAAGACAGCAAAGGCAGAACTGTGTAGATGCAAAAGATCTTAATCCTTCTATTTCTAGAGAATAATAATTCTAAATTATTTCAAATCACTTTTATTAGTATAAATTGTGTATTCTTAAAATACAAAAATGATAAATAGCAAAACAGTAGAAACTTTAAGGCTAGTATTATAATAATTTGTATAGGAGTCTTATTAAACACTTGCTTATCAATCTAGTGGTTCTTAAAGTGTGGTTTGAGGAACTTGGGGATCCCTTAAGCTTTTAGGAGTATCTGTTATCTGTAAGAGTCCCTCTTTTCATAGGTATCTGACTTTAGCTTATTTCCAAGTAACACAACTGTCTTCTATCAGGTCAGATATTGATAAGACTTGAAAAAATGTAAAATGCCACTATTCCCACTTATTTTTCATGAAGCTATAAATATGCCAAAGTTCTGTCATTCTCAATTGAATACAAAAATATCTGAGAAATTTCTATTTTGTTTTCTACCACAGTATTTATAGCTAACAATTCATATAAAAAAAATTTGGGATCTGCAATAATTTTCTAGAATGTAAAGGGGTTTTGAGAGCAAAAAAACTGAGAATTATTGAGATTGACAAACCTTTTTCCCTTTCAGACTTTTAAAAAAAGATTTAGTTTACTTATTTATGCATACAAGACCTGGGGTGTAGGCAGAGGTATGAAGGTGAAAGGATTCACCAGAGACAATGGGAAGCAGAAATACACTGGAACAGCAGGCAGACAACAGAGGTCTGCTATGCCATGTGGGTCACCTCCCTGGCCGGTGGCTGGCCAGTCTGATAGGACTGCTGCTGATATGGAGGTCCCCTGCTGCTTTCAGTCTTTTATCAACACCCCAGGCTGCAAGCAGGAACCAGGCTGCCAGGGTTACAATAATGGCTCTAACCTTTACAAGCTGTTGTGACTTTGGGCAGGTTAACCATTTTGTGGTTCAGGTTTATTAGCTATAAAATAGGAATAATTGGCCCTCCCTGGTGGCGCAGTGGGTTAAAGCACAGCACTGAGAATCTAAAGCCTCTTCCGCATGAGTTCGATTCCCACCCGCCCTGGAGGTGACCACATGGTATGGCAGACCTCTCCTGACCAGCCCACTGCTCCCCTCAGCAGCGTGCTTCTTCGATCTGCCTGCTCTGTTCCCCACTCTGTCTCTGGTGAAGCCTCTCACACCGCCCTTGAGCCTCTGGCCTGTACCCCAGTTCTGTATGCACAAATAAATCTTTAAAAATAAAATAAAATAGGAATAATTATACTACGTGTCTCATAGATATTGCATAGTAAATGGAATGCAAATTAAATTATTTAGAACACTGCTTGGTACACTGTAAAGGTTCTAATAGGTTACATTTTTACTAAAGGTACTTTTGCTGAGGTTATGGTTGGCTTTTATTTTATGTGTATTGATCCTTAGCATTGTTACTTTTCTGCTTTGACTGTTAAAACAGAATCAAATTTGTAGTTTAAGGACTACATCTCATCTGTACAATGGGAATAACATCCATAATCTTAAAGCACTGTCATGATGATTTAACTTAAGCAAGATTTAAAATACTTGGTTTAAAGTTCCAATGATGAAATTTCAGATCCAAAGTTCCAATCAACAAATCTGTATTTTATGTTTAGCTCTCAAACCTAGAGACCAATTCAATTTTCTAAATTGCCATGACAGGCCATTAGGCAGGACAAACACAATCTACTCTCAAGTTGAGGGTAGAGGTAAGGAGTAATGTGATCTGCCCAAAGTCACAATAAAAAACACAAGTGTGGGCCCTCCCTGGTGGCGCAGCGGGTTAAAGCACAGCACTGAGAATCTAAAGCCGCTTCCGCATGAGTTCGATTCCCGCCTGCCCCGGAGGTGACCACATGGTGTGGCAGGCCTCTCCTGACCCACCCTCTGCTCCCCTCAGCAGTGTACTTCTTCGATCTGCCTGTTCTGTTCCCCACTCTGTCTCTGGTGAAGCCTCTCACCGCCCCTGAGCCTCTGGCCTGTACCCCAGTTCTGTATGCACAAATAAATAAATCTTTAAAAAAAAAGAAAAAAACAAACAAACAAAAAAAAAAAACACAAGTGCACTGAGTGAAACAAGTATCTAAAGTCATGTCATAGCTTTTATTAGTGAACACTATATACCTCAAAATCAAAGTATTGCTTGGCAAATACTTTAGCATTACAAAGATTATATGCCAATGCCAAAGTACTTTCTAGCGGTTCAATGCCATTAGTGGTCTATAATCAGAGTATGCTGTGTGGATTGCTTCCCCTGTATGGTAAGGGATTTCAATGATAAAATCTTAGAGCAATTTGTCAGTCTTAGATTCAGTCTTAGATCACATGCTATGGTCTGATCAGAGATCAAACCCATGAAAATTGCCAAAGATGACGCTACCACACATTTTAAGTGGTATAAGCACTTGCTACATAAGGCTAAACCATTCCTATCATTTTTATCGGAAACATTAAGCATTTTTAGGGAAAAAAAAAATTTTTTTTTTAATAACCAACAATAAGTCACCAACCTGACACATAAAGTCAGTCTGTTGGGCAATGTTTTATACTTACAGCATCTCTTTTCTTCTTTGATTTGCTATCATCAGATTCACTGTCAGATAAAGACTTTCTTTTTGTACCATCCTTTTCTTTCCCAGCCTTTTGAGAATTAAGAAATGCTTCAATCAACTCTGGACAATCTAAATTTTCTTCAGGTTCCCAAGTGTTGTCAGCACTGTGTTCAATTAAAAAAAAAAAAAAGTTCATTCAATTCAATGTGGTTCATCAAAATAGTTGAAATATCTAAAGACAAAGCCCTCTATATTGCAAATGCTACTTCTTTCCTATTCACACTTTTTTTTTTTTTAAAGGTTTATTTATTTGTGCATACAGAACTGGGGTACAGGCCAGAGGCTCAGGGGCTGTGAGAGGCTTCACCAGAGACAGAGCGGGGAACAGAACAGGCAGATCGAAGAAGTACACTGCTGAGGGGAGCAGAGGGTGGGTCAGGAGAGGTCTGCCACGCCATGTGGTCACCTCCGGGGCAGGTCGGGAATTGAACTCATGCGGAAGCGGCTTTAGATTCTCAGTGCTGTGCTTTAACCCGCTGCGCCACCAGGGAAGGCCCTCCTATTCACACTTTTTAAAAAATATTTTTTACTTATTTATACATACTGATTTATTTTTATTTATACAGAACTGGGGCATAGAGCAAAGGTACAGGGGGACGAGAGGATTCACCAGAGACAGAATGGGAAGCAGAACAGGCAAATCGACTGAAGTACACTGCTAAGGGAGCAGCAGGTGAAACAGGAGTGGTCTGCTGTGCCACCTCCCTGGCTGCCAAAGTGGCCTGTGAAATAGCCTACGGCCCTGTCTTTAACTCACCTGCCACCAGGGAGGCCCCACATTCCTTTTACATCTCCTTTCACATCCCTTGCCAAATAGACAACTATGTTATCTCTATGTTAAATGAACATGACTGGCAAGATTATTTAGAACAGGTTTTTTTCCCAATTACTTTAAGTAATAGAGAAATACTGGAAGGCTAACTATTTGACTATCATACTCTCGCCATCTCCATCATGCTCAGAAAATTGTCTTTTATGATCCATTTGTGGACCACACCTAAATAATAGCAAAGAATCTTACTGTTTTTATGATGCTAGATAAACGAACCCACTCTTTAGCCAAAAAAAAAAAAGAGTACACATTAGCAAAAGTGTGAGATTATAACTTTTACATGCAAATTATTCCCAAAACAATGAACTTTTTCCTAAGAGCAAGAAATATGAGAAACCTGGAAGTTTAAAAATACCAAGACTTCTTTCTTACTCTGTAAATCCTTTCCACTTCAGGAAATATTCCACCTTTCCATTCACTACACGTCGGTCCAATACTTTTTCCACCACAAATTCTTCAGGCTCTGCCTCTTCAACTTTTTTACTCTTTCCATTCTGTTTCTTTCCCATTTTTTGCTAAAGCAAAAACAGAAGAGATTAAAAAACAAACAACAAAAAAAAAACCTTGATTTGTGTTGTACATTTTAAAAAGCTAAATGACTTCCATTATTGTTGCATTTGTTCTAAGTGTTCTAACACTTAGAAATTTTACTTCTCTATCCATAAGGTAAACACCTGAAAAGAAGGTCAAAGTAATAAAAAAAAAATACTTAATTCTGTTGCTTTAACTCAAACCTATCACCCTTCACTGAAATAACACAATAAAAAACAATACTGGGAAAATCTTGTTCTTTTTCATGTCTTATTTCTATGTAGTCTAACAGTACCAAATTCTCTCATTTTAACTACAACACAACAACAAATTTTTAAAGGGTTATTAGAGGCTAAAGATAATAAGCAGCAGCAATAGGTCTTATTAAATGAACCATAGAGTCATTAAAACTATAGCCCTAGAACACTAAGACACCCTTTTTCTCAGTTTAAATATCATTTTGCAGGCAAGTACAAAATGAAAGCATGGCTCAGAATTCTGGTAAGAATCACAGAGTCAACCACTGAGATCAGGACTAGGTTATTAGCAAGCTCACTTTACTTTTGAAGTCTGTAGATGCTATGGACTGCTTGAAACAAATCTATAATGCTGTCACTTAAAAGGGATTAAATGCTGATTGTTTTTTTAGTGTCTAAATGTGAGAAAAATCTGTCTTATGAGTTCAAAAAAGTTAAATAGTTTAACCAATGATATTCACTTAAAGCAAGTTTTCTCTCCCTACCCCCCAAACCACATCAATTGATAGACGACGGAGACACGCTAATAACTCAATCAGATTTTCTTAGGATAGAAAAACAGGTATTTTAAAAAAACTGAAATGGTTACAAGGGAAGAAAATATAAAATATTTTATCTATTTTAAAATTAGTTCATTAAAAAAAAAAAGCTTTATGCATATAAGAGCTGGAGTACAGGCCAGAGGGGTACAGTACAGGGGGTGAGAGGACTCAACAGAGACTGAAGGGGGAGCAGAACAGGCAGACTGACTGAAATACACTGCTGAGGGGAGCAGTGGGTGAGACAGGAGAGGTCTGCCACACGATGTGGGTCACCTCTCTGGTGAGGGCTTGAACTTGTTCTGCAGTGGCTGTGGATAGCTTCACAGTGCTGTGCTTTAACCCCTTGCGCCACACCAAGGAGGCCCTAAAATCATTCCATCTTAAAGCAGTGCTATTAAAATATTTAAATGCTTAGTTGCAAAGTTTTGATTTAATAGTAGTTTGTAAACAGAAAAAAGTTAACACCAAAGTCTAAAGATTGCAAAGAACATTTTAAAAAAATATGTAGGCATTTAAATGTATATACAACATATCTAAGAAATAACAATCCTTTGGAATTTAAAAGAATGCCGCAACCACCTGATTTTGTTGGAAACCATCTCGGCCTTACATTTTCAATTGTCACTGGCAGGCAGGTATTACATTCAAATGGTTTTCTGCTTCTGTACAGTAGGTAGTGAGAGGGACAAGAAAAATTGAAGCAGACAAGAGCAAATTTTATTACAGATCTGAAATGAATAGAAAACACCTAATGCCAAACAAAGAGGTTAACAGAAATAGAGAATGACTAAACACAAAAAAATGAAAAGGATAAATATTAATATAAAATATGGCAGGCAAAAATACTTTATTTACTATGACATTCGCAAGTTAGTTATTAAGTTTTAACTGCTCACTGCTTTTTTAAGAAATAAAAAATTGGCTTAAGTCAAATTTTTCGACCAGAGCAGGAGCACATTTTGTAGCCCCCACACACTGTATTACTGGGGTAGGGGGAGAACCACCCAGTTTCTCACTTAATTATGACACATACCATTACTGTTTCATTACTATGAAAAGTGAAATTAAAAACACTTAAAATCCTGGGCTCTCCCTGGTGGTGTGGTGGGTTAAAGGGCAGCACTATAAGATATCTGCAACCACTGCAGTTATTTATGAGTTCAATTCCCTGGCCAGGGAGCTGACTTGCATGGTGTGGCAGATCTCTCTTGTCTCACCTACTGCTCCCCTCAGCAAGCAGCGATTCAGAAGATATGCCTATTCTGTTCCCCACTGTCTGGTGAATCTGCTTACCCCCTGCCCTCCCCACCCCCACCCAGCGCCTCTGGCCTGTACCCCAGTTCTTGTATGCAGACATAACAAAATGTTAAACACACACACACACACACTCTTAAAATCTGCAGGTAATCCTTTACAAAAGGGAAAAAAAATCATTAAGTTACAGACACTATAATACTATGCGCAAAAGCAATTTAATTTTTGTTTTATGCATTTCATTCTCAAAGCCTCATAACAGCTACTTCTTTTCCCACTGAATACTGGAAGGATACAGTTAATAGTAAAGTCTATTCAATTGTTTACACATTATGGAATTTGAAAGATAACTCAATTTTCTGGGGTATTTGGATCTTTTCCACAGATGGCTATGTTGGGAATCTTTGATGGTTAAGTACTTATGTCCCAGATTTACCAGACAGGTTTTCTATTTCATTTCATTGTTCTTGAGGATATTTCTCTTAAATGTACAACTCTAATGATAGCACAAATCAGCATTCCTTTTGGTGTGAAATCCTAAGATATAAAGTGCCAAGCCAAATGGTTTGCTTTCTTTCCATGTTAACATTCACCTTCATACATCTATGATTATAAATTTAGTATGTTTCAGTGGGAATCATAGCTTTGAATTTCATGACTTTACCATAGATATTCCATCTTTTTTTTAAACCTGTACTTTGATATAGCTGAATACACATCTTTTTACACATTTGTAGATCTTTTACTAAAACCTAAAATAGCAAGTGTGTAAGACTAGAGAGAAATGTGATTGTTCAAAAAATTCAGATCATCTCTTCATGGACATGTCTGTGACTGTATATGGAAAAAACATCAACACCACAATGACAAATTTAAGGCACTTCCATATTTTAGAATAAGCAAATTTGATGTGACAAAATCCACCAAAAGTATTTTGGAATAATCAATGACTTTTATGGCAAAGTTACCAAATATCTGTTCTTTAAACCGGATTTAAGTGAAAATACTTACTTCTCTGAATTTAGTAGAGGTAACTTAGAGAAGAGTATGCCAAACAAGGGTTTTACTGTTTTGTCTACAGTTTTCCATTTTACACAAGTTTGTGTAAAATACTTGGCAAGGCATCCTTCCAAGGATATCTTTAAATAAGACACTGATGTCAAATGTCTTAAAGTAATATTTTGCTTTTGCCACAATTCTTTCCCATGAGTATCAAAGGACTGGGAAATATGGATGTAAATTTTTCAACCACAAAGATGCAAAGTTGTATTTTTTGGGAAAAAATGTGAGTTAGATCCTTACATACTTCAGATTTTTGTTAACTTACCAATGTAGTTTTATTGGATGCCATTTTTATTGCAGACTTGAAGAGCTATTACTAGAAAAATGCATGACAGTTAAGAGGAAGTTTGCATGACACAAGATAACTAAACTCAAGTTTAAATTTGATACCAACCCCCACCTTCACAGAACATAGTAATAAGGGATAAAATTTCATGAGAGCAGGCTTAAGGTTCCTCTTGACTTTGTGATATTATGTCACGTTATCTGTGCTCTAACATTGTTCTGGGTCCAGAAAACCTTACTAGGTAAGGACACTGATATCTGAACACAGCTTTCACTAGGTAAGGACACTGATATCTGAACACAGCTTTCAAAGGCGAAATATAGCAGACATTTTCCAACCCCAATACCCTTACATCATATTAAGCATTTTTTAAAAATCGGCCAAACCTTTGGGTTCACAGTTACCCAAACAATCACAATGGTAAACTACCGTAGATTTTTCCTTCGGACCTCTTAACAGTCCAAAGAGTCTTCTATAAAATCCCAACTTGCTTTCTTCTTAGAAACCCTCCCTTTCCAGTCAGTAACTAAAAATCTCACCGAGATGCTTCAGCCCCATCTCATGCCACTTTTAAAAGCAAATCACCTCCTCTGCGCACACATCCTAAAGCCCCAGGCCCAGCGGGAATTAAATAGGCCTAAGCGCCCGCCCCCCCCCCACCACCCGGGAGCGCGGGCCTCGTGGTCAGCGCATCCGCGGGGAGAGACAAAGGCCGCGGCGCCGGGGCTCAAGGGCACTGCGCCACGGGGCCCGCGCCTCCCCCGACCCGGCCTGGTCTACGTAACGGAGCGCCCGCTGCAGCCTCGGACAGTCGCCGCGCGCGCCGCCCCGCTTCGCGGATACGGGAGAATTGCACCGCCCTCCCCGGAGGCCCGAGTGGCCGACCGAGCCCGGCGTGCAAGGGGGGAAGGCCCCTCATCTCGAGCGCAGGTGGGGGAGGGGAGGACAAGCGCTTTGTCTAGAAATAAGGCAGCTGTCGCCACAGCTCGCCACCCTCTAGAGGACAATCTCGTCTCCCCAATTACAGGCGGCTGTCCAGCGCCAGGCCCGACTCCGGGCCCAGGCTCGCTCCTCCAGAGCTTCCCGCCAGCTCCCGTTCGGGGTCCGGCGGGAAGCCGTTAACTGGGGTGCTGGGGGGTCCCTGGGACGCAGGTGGTATCCTAAGCACCACCACCGAGTGAGAGCTAGAGAGAAAGAAAGACACCGACTTCACCGCCTCCGAGCTGCTCCGGGTCGCGGGTCTTCGGCGTCTCCGGCCCTGCGCGCCTCAAGCTCGAGCCACATCCGAGGGGGAGGGGGCTGGGGAGCCGCGCG